CGTTGGAAATTTTCTAGACGGTAAACTCTCCAACAAATTCCGTTTCTACCTTGTATGTGCAAATAACAGATTCTACATGATAATAGCCATAATTAGAATTAGGCGTAGCTCTAGGCGAACATCGAATCACGATGAATCGCAGCGCGGCGGTTCTCTACGGTTTGCAGGTCCGCGGAAAGAGATACACAAGTATTACTTTCTAAGTGAAATGTTTTCACTTTTACGTCGATTTCTATGCACTTTGGAGAAATGTGTAGTCACCGAGTATACAACAAAAATTTCGTTCTTTCATTCAGAGGATGAATATTTGGAACAGTATGTAACAATAACAATGTGATGCTACCAAACATCTAAACAATCTGTAGAAATATGTGATTGGAAAAATTCCGAAAATAATCTAAGTAGGATTCTGATGGTAAATTATGAATTTAAAGAAATAATGTAAAAACATAAAGCAACGTAAAAATGTAAATAAATACTGTATGCCCGAGTATATTCAATAAGTTACCAATCTTTCATTTTGCAAGTGTTCTGCTCGTCAAATATTTGTTTCTCCGGTTAATTGATTTGAAAATAATCTCGAACCGCTGTTACATTATACATTTTATGAGTCGGTTTCACTTTTCATTGGCATTCTATTACTGAAGTTTTCTACGTGTAAACATTGGAACATTTCAGTGCGAGAGCAACAGTGGCTATTTTTCTCAGTGAAACTGATTTATGTAACACTTTCCATCGTGATGTTTAATTGGTCAGGCATTCGCTCAGGCTCTGGCACTAAAACGCATGACAAAACCAATTGCAACTGCAATTTAAGGTGAACAGTTTGTCAATTTGTGCATGCTGCACTTTGAATGCAAGTAGCTCTAAATTATACGGAAATCCCCAATACCTAATTTTCCATGACTAAACAGCGAGACTTTATGCATTTACAGTGTAGAAAGGTCTTTAAAAAGTTATAAGATAGAAATTTGAATAAAAACGTATCAATGCAGATTTCTAATGTAATTTTAATTCAAGGAAACCGTGTATTAAGAAAGTTCAATTGTTAAAAATAATGTTAAGTAATAATATTATTATTGTATATTCGAGCCAAGTAAAGTTTCAGTAATGTCGCGTACTAATAAATTAACCTTTTGTACTCGAGAAGTAACTCTCAGTTACCACTTGGTTCGATCTATTTATATATTGCTATATTAATATAATTATAACGTTCGATGTTAAATATTAAATTTCGTCTAAATTATAATTGAAAAAATTGTATTTGAAATTTTAATTGGAAAACGAATTATAAACATTACAATTGAGAAAACTAACTTGATTATTGAACGAAAGAATATGAAAATTTGTTCAATGTAAAAAGTTCTTCGACAATAAAACTACAGAATCAAAATGAAATCAGTCAATATGAAAACGTTAACAACCAAAACATCGAAGATACCCCATTGAGTGCTATGGACACATATAACCTATGCGTTTATCGATTGTTGATTCAATTTGGCAAAACTGAGGTATTAGAATTACAACTTAATTGCGCCTTATACGATTTAACCCTTTGCACTCGAAACTTTTTCACTTGAAATACTCAATACTTTCCAATTAGATGTAGACAAGATTTCTTCAAGTTAATTTATCAATAAATCGCACATAAATTAAGGAGCAAAGCCATTTTCGTCCAATACTTCACATATTGATGTAGTAGACAAAGGTTAATGGTAAATACCAAAGTTTATAATTTTTCTGTATTAAAACATCTGGCAACTGAGAACTGGCAACTTGAGTGCAAAGGAATAACATAGTCCACCGATCTTCAGATAGCAAGCCAAGCAACAGAATATTCCGTGCACGTGAAACGTTTCGACTGCAAGCATTCAGACACTCGAAAGGTTACTGTATTACTAAAATCTTAAGTCTTAAACTTACCAAGTAGCAGTTGCCCGCAGGACATGAACATCAACAGGTTCGAGTCATCCTTCAATTCCGCGCTTCTCAGTCTCTGCCGTTCGATCGGCAGTTGATCGGAATGCGACTGATGCTGCTGTTGGCTCTGCTGTTTCTCCGAGATCAGGATCTCCTTCGAGTGCTTCGACTCCAGGCAACTCTCAGGCTTCGAGTCCGAGATACTGGAATCCTTCGAGTTGTTCGAGTCCTGGCTCCTGACCGTCGAGTCGAGCGCGATCACCGCGTTCTCCATGTTTTCCCGGCCAGAAGGATCTTCAACGCATCACTGTACCTTTTCGCGCGCGTAACCGTTTTCTCCCTAGTCGCCGCACCTTTCGTGGACGTTGCGTCTTTTGCTGTTGGCTTTCATGAATCCCTTTGTGTCGTTGATTTATCTGTCCTCGTGGTGTCTCCCGATTCACGCGTTTAAGACCGTCTTCCCTCCTTTCGCGTTTCAGATTTAAGTTATGTTCGCTGTTCGAGTTGCCCGTGACTATTATACGTGCTTGTTGATGTATCGAACAGCTTGAGAAACTTTAGCTATTAACACCTTGCTGACCGGTCACGAGTTAACTCGTATTTCCACAACTCGAGCCGTTCACAAATTATACAGTATTTGTATTTTATTTATTTTTGTTTGAAGGCAATATAGGCCTTTACAAGAGCGTTTTATATCGTGTTCGTTGAATTAAATTGTTTTCGTCATTTTAATGTATTCTACGTATGTACGTACTTACATTGAAGTTTCGAGTAACAATTTTTTTGGTAAAATTACCGGGAAGTAAGGTGTTAATGGCCGATTCGTACAGGACTTGGCATTTTCGTGGGGATTTTAGCAGTTGCCTATTTCCAGCCCGCTCGCAGAGACTCCTCGTGCATGCAGTCGATCGGCAAAGGTCATTAGACGGCGTACTCGGTGATCCGGTTGACACAGTCCGTTGAATCCCAACGATCTGTAAGTCAAGCGACCGACGAATGCATTGATAATCGTTCAACGGTGACCAAGTTCAGGGGAACGCTCGTTTCGTGTCATAAACGGACAGCGGATCTTTACGCGCAAAAGAAGTTTCGCAGAGAGACATATGGAAATAACAGTTAAGCAGAAACTGTTACATTTAGAAATATAGACTAATACATTTATCTTCTTTTCTATGTATTATTATACATTTTTCATTATATATTTTCTATTATATGTAATTTTTCTATTTTTAATTTGAATCAAATTCAGAATTTCTCCATTAAATTTTTGAAACAATATTTTTTTCAGGAACATAAATTATTGAATAATAATATCATTTCTTTAAAAGAAGAACTATATCCGACAGGTTATAATAATAATCTTTCTTTGTTATTATAATGTAATAAAGATGCATGAAATTGTTCATTATCTTTTAATGCAAAGATAATATGAAGATATCCAGCAGGATTTGCATTCCATTAATTTCACGACGAACAAAAGCCCGATGTTATCGCATTATCGTATCACAGCTGTGCTGCCAGGGAGAATTTCATATAAAATTGTAAAAGAGAAATTCACGCGTTTTCCTGGAGAAATCACAAATCTTCGAAAGCGCGTTCGTAGGTACAATTAGCGTATTGCAAATACGGGAACGTGTAATTATGAAGCAGGCCTTCCTGGTGTTGGAATGGTAATGTTACATTTTCTAAGACGTTCTCTCAATTTTCGCGGTTTTCTTTCGAAACATACAGCCTCGAGACGTCGTGAAACGTTTGAAATTGTAATTACTCAATTATTCTTGATTCTACTTTTCTTTAATTGTTTATAATTGACAGATAATCTATCTCCGTCAATTTTCAGCAATTCTATCGCACAAATACATATATCGATTTAAGATTGAAAATTAATTTCCTACCGTAACCAGTGAAATAACTATAAAATAATGATAAACAAGTTCGATGATAAATTCTTCTTAATGGAAATCGAAACAATAGGAAAGACGAAAATTGACAAACTGATTAATCGAGCAATATAGGAATCGATATAAAGTTAAACGAACGAAAGAAAACACAGAATGTTAAATTAAACTTTAAAACTGATCATTTGACCAGTTCACGGTATCGTTAGCGTTAAATAATTAATCTTATATATTTTTACGTTAACGTAGGATATGACATGCTTAATAAAAGATGTACAAATGTTATACACATAATAAACAATTTTTTATTTACCATTTGTTTCTAACGTATACGTTATTATAATCGATGAAGTGATTAATTCGATTTTATTCGATTTTACATTCTGCTACAAGAGAGGAAAATGTGACAAACTTCACGAAAAATCAGAAATACGCGTTAAAAGATCAATTCCCATTTATGTAGCGCAATTAAAGCGTTGCTCTTATTATTTTTATATGATGTTACGAACCAGTCTTTCTGATCGCTCTATAATTCCAGTGTTAATAGATACACGTTTCTCAAGTCGACGCTCTTAATATCGGGGTTTAGTAGACTGCGACCTAACATTGCTGGAAACGGTACAATTAATAACTCTACGGAGACAATAAAAAATTTGTATTGTTTAGCTTCGTGTCGGAAAATTCATCGGAAAATACGATTTTTTAGTAAATATCTGCAAACAATTTCGAACATTCTATCGATGTTCTGTCTAAATTATTCTATAACCATAACCGGAGGTTTCAAATATCAATTATCGACGAAAACAATGGAAACCTGGAACATCGAAGAGGTAATTTACGTTCATTGCACAATTTGGGGCGAAGCATCAGGAAATACTGAAAAGCACAGAACTAAAAATGTTTTATTACCGCAACGGTTTTATTACTAAATTTCAGACTATTTGATTGTACAAAATAAAATATAATTTCATCAAACTCTTATATCACTTCGAACATACCCAAAATTTTTCGGAAAGACTCTGTTCGATGTGGACTCTTAAAAAATGTTTAAAAACTAGAAGTTACGTACACTCGACTCTCGGTTTATGCGAAAATCCATTCCACGTGAATTCGTTTCAGGCGAATAAGAATCGCGTAAATAGAGTCTGTCGGTACAAAAAAAAGAAACTAAAGGAAAGAAAACCTGATATAAGTTTTAGAAATACATATTTATTTGGCACAGTCAAACGAGGGAAATAATAATAGTGACATTTCAATAAACAAAAGTACATTTTATTCGGTGTCACTACATACAGATCGCGTAAATACTGTCCTAATTTACCGTGTAAAAATGTACCGCGTAAATCGAGGGTCAGCTGTGCACATTTGCGGATTAAGGATAGCTAATTACAGTTAAGATCGCTTTGTTATTCTCATTTCGAATACAACTCGCGGACAGTATAAATTGAGCTACTCATTAGCCTAATCGGATAACTCTACAAAACAAAAACTAGAGAATAGTGATGCAACGGATATACATTGATTTTTAAAGTTCCCCTTTAAATGAAAAATTGAATAACCACTATGGAACGTGTTTTACTTCGTTATCACAGGTGTAGCTTTAATCTAAAGAATATGTAAAATGTATAAAATAGTATAAGTTTGAAGTAATTCTTATTATTGTTGCAAGTACTGCACGGCCAACAGAATTTTTATTTCGTGATGTCACGCCGAGTAATAAGGACATTTATTTCAAATATGAAAAGTTAAGAGCCAATGGAGCGCTTTAACCGATAACATCTGAATAAATTAAAAGAATTGGATACTTTGATATTGGCACTGATACTGTCGCGAAAAGTATTTATATTACGAGATTACTTACGTTGCGAGATTTCATTATTTTTAGCGTATCATTTCAAATAGACCAGGAAATAATAAACGGAGATACAGATTAAGGATAGTAGAACATTTCTACTCACCCTGTATACCGAATACTTCACGGTACACGAAACCAGCGTGTACGGTAAATTTCTGACCGGAAAAAATTTCTGCACGCGTCAGCTACCAAGGAATCGTGATGAATCGCGGAAGAACACGCACGCGAGCGAACAATAATAATATTAATAACATTTCTGTTATGAAGCATACCGAAAAAAGGAAGCGCGCCGGCTCCTATTTAATTCCGTGATGAATCAAGTTACCTTTTTTGATCTGAAGATAAATTTATATTTGGAATCCATCTTTAGAATGTAAAGGAAATTATTTCGGCCAGCGGTACCATGTTTTCATCGCTGAGATAATAGAGCAAATCACTGGATAAATTTATATTCTGATTGTTTATAATATCATTTTTTATACTAACATGATTAGGAGGTCAAGTTATTGAAATAAATGTAAAATATATACATTTATTAATATATTAAATATTTATAATAATAATATTAATCAATAAATAAACAATAAATGTATAAATGTATAATGCATACTTTTATTAATATATTAAATATTTTAACGTGTTAAACAGTTACTGTGGCGTAATTCTTTTTTATAAATAACAAGAATTCCCATGTCATCAAACATTCTGCATATAAAAATTTATCGATGTCATCTTTGCTGGAATACTGTTATCATAATTTTCTTCTCAAAGAGTAACGAAAATTCTGAATGGCAAAGGAATTAAAGAAATAGTTAAAGAAATCTTTGTCTAAAAGAAATCGATCGGTTACTTTATCCTTCGAACGATTAAGGAATGCCTGATATATAAAAAACAGAAAAAGTGTAACAATTTACATTGTCAGAATTATCGTGGGAAATTTAATTCCGAAAACTATCATTATTGGAAATGAAATTTTCGATCTTGGCTTAAAAACAAATTACAAAAAGAAAAATGGGTAACAATTTCCTACAAAAGTCAACAGCAGTTCGCGTCTCCAGGCTTGTCATCGCGATCATCGTGAAGATTCTCGAAATTCGATTGAGTAAATGTCTAGAAGGGCCTATGTTACTGTGTTAAGAGTTCGATTTAAATTCGGTTTCTCAATTATTGTTCTGGATGTATAAAATTAGGCAGAAAAGATAGTTTAAGTTATAAAGTTTTTAAAAAATTGGATTTCCAAAAAGAAAGAATGGAATGTGATGTAAAAAACGTTTCCGTAAAGTTCTGTTTTTTAAGTATTATTTCAGATGTCAAAAACTATGCACGATAGAAGTGAATATTGACGACTATACAAAACCATGTCTTGCATTCTAAATTTCAATCTACTTTAACTTCATGCCATGTTGTTGTCACATAAATTTCCGACCTGGATAATTAATAACGATATCATCAATCAACACGTTGACTGCTACGAGAATTTCGAGCATTTTATATTTATTCTATCATAACAAAGGCAAGTAATATTAAAAATAATTAGTAACGATTTGGTATCGTAGTACTCATATTGCACTATTATCTACACTATCAACATTAACACATTGACCGTCACGAGAACATTAAGCGGTTTGTGTAATATTAGTTATTCTTTCATAACAAAGGTAAATAGTATTAGAATTAATTATTAATGAGTTGGTGTTATAATTCTTAAGTTACACTGTTATTGTACTTTGATTAGTAGCTGATTATGTTCGTTCTCCAGAAAACAATGATAACAGATGAAAATGATCAGCGCATGAAACGGTATAAACGTAACTTGCTATTAATACCAATTTTATTCAGTAACACATTCATGAACGCGAATGCTATAGCGTTCATTTTCATTGTGATGCAAAATGATATGAATGCTATAACATTCAAATTTATAAGCCACATTATCATACATTCGATTCTATCTAGCCTTAATTAAAAGAATTCTATCTAAATCTGAATATCATAATTAATTTAAAGATAAATCGCCTGTCTATTTGTACCTATTAAAATTTCCACCATCCATGAACGTGTTAAACTAGTGAAATACTGATTGAAATCAGACTTCAATTCATTAACATGTTGAATAACACACGATTCCATACAGCAAAATATACAAAACGGAAAAAATATATTATTAAATCATTTGACTGAATTGTATTATTATCATTGCACGTTTATGTAGCTGAATCTCAACCGCATTAGATAGCATTATTTATAGCGTAGAAATATTTTAAAATAATCGTTGTTTAATTGCATGAGCTATAGTAATTCGATTCGGATGGAGCTGATTGGTGATAAGGCAGTCAACGTGTTAACACTAGACCTATCAGGTGGTACGCTTACAGATTTTACAAAGAAATTTGAAAAGACGATTTGTGCTCGGCAGTTCTAGCGTTAACATCAGTTTTATTCATAGGTGTACTTCTATGTCAAGATATTTTTAAACTAAATTACATTATTACGTTATTTTCAATATTATTAGTGAGAAGAATCGTTTACACTGCTCTCTGCAAACTCTCCATTTTTTAAAATGCATTTTAAGTAAAATATCGTAATAATACCGTTATCGAGGAAAAAATGCAAAAGAAATTCGGAATGCTAGGGGTTAACAACAAGAAAGCAGAACTTCTTTCGGTATCTAATAGTACAACGATACAAAAACAGAATCGGAATGGTTTTTCTGTCAAGCGTCTTAGTGCCTGACGATTTCGGTCCAGCGCGCAGCGCCGCGAGTCCCGCGGCGATTACGTTGATTGTAATCGTTCGCCGGAAAACAATGATAACCGATGAAAACGATCAGTGCGCGAAATGGTTCCCCCATCGCGGCGGGTATACAAAGCGCAACAGGAAGAGCCTTCCACTAGAGCGCAGAAAGATCGCGAATGAACATACCAGGTCTTGGTTCGTCGTCCCCGTTACTCCCTTTGCTATGATCCTTTATCACATGATCCCGCGGAGGGATCGATTCACCGCACTGGTCGAGTGTCGCGTGCTGCGTTACGCCTACGATTCTAAGTGTACATACACCAACACGTCGATCGCGACCGATCGCGAGAAATTTCGTGGTTATCCGGTTGCTCGTGCGACCGACCTCTTGAACACACAATCGGCGACTGGATCGTTCTGAACAGCACAGGTTGCTGGTACTCTCCTTTCTAAGCCCTCTCTCTTTCTTTCTTTCTTTCTCTCTCTTCCCTCTCTTTCTCTCGTTATGCCTCTCTCTTTCTCTCATTATTTCTCCCTCTTCCCCCCCGAGTCTGTCTTTACGTGTTATCCTTGTGTCATTCTTGTTTCAAATGTGCATATTTTTTTATTGTTTCTCGGTTTTGATTTTCTTCGATGCTAAACTAGTAATGGGGTTTAACACGTTGACGGACGACGAGATTTCAACGTTAATACATTATTGACCGGTCACGAGTTAACTCGTGTTTGCACTAGCATTGGCTATTTCAATTTTTGAAGTGCAGGGCAGTGCAGAATATTCCAAAAGCAAAATGTTAAAATTTATTTAAAAGATATGCCCGAAGTTTCGTTTCAATTCATTACATACAATAAAGATATATTGAAGCTTATTCAGATTGTTTTACTTTCGTATTTAATTACGGAATAATAACCGATGACATAGCATAGCTTCTGGGTAAAACTGCCGGTCAACAATGTGTTAAAACTACCGAGCATTTATTAGGGCTGATATGTAATGCTGATAAAGATTGTAACAATACGGTTTTTTCTCGGATTCTGTTGACACTCGTTGTAGCGTTTCAGTAAAGTTGTTTATTGCCAAAATCATTTTGGATATCGAATATTTGTAAAGTATCAATAATTTGCAAAGTAAGAAAACTGAAGCTTGTGGTTCTAAACATGGATCTGATTTTCTCGAAACACATGAACTAGATGAGATGTAAAATTTAAGCGTTTATATCGCAATAGCAATTTAAGTGTAAAAGACGTTATTATAACGGAAACATCTCGATGTAGATTATAAGAATATCTAGTGGATACTATACGATTACATTTAAAAATTTTAACGTTACACTTGCAGGACATATCAAGGTTATCTTAAGGTCAAACAAATAAGAACTTGATGTGTAACACTTAATTCTCTATAGCTTTCGTCTGAGATATTTCTTCAGATCACCTGTATATTTTATATACATCATGAAAATAACTAGAAGTATTAGGAAATTTCATAGGTAACATAGGTAGAAATCTCAACCGTTTTCGAGGTATAAATATTTTTATATATTAACACATGCTAATATATAAATTATTATTAACCTTTATTATTAACTCTTTGCACTCGAAAGGCGAAAACGATAAAGTTCGATATTTAGTCGACATTTATTTTTCGTAAAGAGAAGTATATTACTTTTACACGCGTTATTATTTAAATTTGTAACGAATGATATAATACGCAAGCAATTTACGAGATTTTTTGCTTAAATATTGTTAACATTTTCTAGAGATTCTAAAGATACTACATTATATTTTATCAAATATAACGTACAGTGACTACGAAGTTTGGCATTGAGCAAATCTTAGTAGTGAACGTGTTAAACAATTCGACAGAGACCTGGAATTTTCGAGAGAGTTCGCGACTCTGTACGAGCAAGGTGCCAAGCGTGAATGTAAATGGAGGAAAGACACGTGCAACACCTTCTGTAAATGTCGAGAAGCCAATAATAAGTTTATTACGATGTTAAAACATTCCTAACTGACAAATTTTTCGCTTTTCTAATACCTACTCATTGCTGGTGAAAATGAAGAAAATCTTAATCGCCGCAAACTTTTTACATCAAAACAGAGAGAAAAATTAGAAAATTTCGTTTGAAATATTAGTCTCTCTATGATCTGTTGTTTGAAATGAAGAACTTTCCGTTAAAGAAGTCACAAATGAAAAAGAGCAGAAGAATCAAATATTTGGAATTTATTCCAGGTATTTGAAACGACGTAAATTTACATCAACGGTCGCGCATATGTTAACATTATGGATGAAACATTTTGCTGCTAATCATACTTATGTAGTAACCCCCTTAGTAGCCTTTTTCGAATGAAATACTTTCAAGTTGCTTACGGTTGGTACAAAATTAAAAGTCATTATCATATTAAATACATATGTACTCATAGACTGATATTTCAAAAACAATTATAATCAAAAATTCAGCAAAGAAATTTGAAAAATTGATAGAGTTGTAAAGTTTCAAATGGAACGATATAAAATACTCAGCGGCTTGGTTACGTGGGAAAGCGCACGGAAAATTAATACAAACATTAATTAATAGACTCACGATTTATTAGGGAAAAGCAATCGCAAGAAATTGTGATTCGATTAAACGAACGGCTGAAAAAAAGGACAACACAGAAAACAGTTCTACGAGAACGGTTTCGTGTTCGCGGCGAAAGGCGAAAGCCGATTAAGAAATTAAATGCATACAAACATAAACCTGCGTTAACGAGCGAATTTGCTGAATCAATACATCCTATCTATGAAGAGTTATGTGGAAGCAATTTACTAGAATCATGTACGGCCAGTTTCACACAAAATAGCAATGAAAGTTCCAGCACGATATCAGAAAATAGCGCTTAACGATCGGCTTAAGTAGCGCAAAAATGATTGGAAAAGCGGAAAAAACCGATGCTCATTGATATGCCGTTCGATAATTAGTATAAAATATGATTGTTTTGTAGATGTAATGAGCGCTGCGAATGTAAAAATCGGCCCCGAAGCCTATGAAATACGTACGGAGGAGGATGCTGTCCGCATTCCACGGGTTAACGATCGAACGCAACAATCCACCATGGAGTCGAAGTAACCAGACAAAAACAGAATGATCTGCTAAAAAAGTTGCGTCATCAGGGGAATGTCAACTTCATGCGTCAGAGATCGTTGATTGGGGATAAATATGGAAAAAAAGTGCAGCTATTTTATTTAGTGATAAATCAAAATTTGAAATACATTTTCCACGAAACTACTTTTCCTTTACGGTCTGAAAACCCAGGCTATACATGTTTTACTGTCTGAATTTCAGTTTTGTATGTGAGTTCTTAATTGCAATTCCGTACCTGATAACGAAACATGTTTGAAATCCGAGTCTTCCCCTTTTTTTTAGTCACGGAGAATAACTATGAATTATTTATTAAAAACAGGAAGAAAACGGAAATTACTTTATTTCTCAAATTTTGCAAACTCTTCTGATACGGTAGATAGCTGTTGATATGGTTAATAAAAATACGCTTGGAAATGGAAACAAAACAATTAATATTTCTATTAACTTATCGTTGACTGAAACATAGTAATTTAAAGTAATCGAGGTTAATGAAACAACGATTTAATATGTATACCATAAATAAATAGACATAGAAATATATAAAAAGAAATTAATCGTTAATAATCACGATTGATATAGTCTAATAAATTATACAAATAATATTCACATATATATAAATTATTAATTAAATAAATAAATTATTAAAACCATCAATAGCCGGTTCATCAGTTGTCAGTTTTTAAACAAAATAACTCAATTTCATATGTAGGTCGCGAATCTCCCACATTAGAATTATTTTCACCGGTATCATCATAATTATGAACCCGACTCACAGTTAAACAATGAATTTCATTTAATTGACAATTAGTTATCCGACGATCAAATGAAAATTAAGTACCCAATTCAATCGCTAATTCCTAATTGATTACATAGCAGACAACGGAATAAGAAATTTCACTTTTAATCGCCGATACAACCGATAATCAAATGCGTCAATTGCGTATGTTAATTATTGCATGAATTAAGCATTGCCCAACGCTAATTTTACATGCCGTTTCCAGCTTGCCTCGGAACCAAAATGGTCGCCACGGAAACGTTTTCCGGTGGCACGCAAGCCGCGAATTACAGAGATTTTTCAAGTGACGCAAAACGATCGCCGTAGTTTCTAATACTTTCTAACGACAGGTGCGAGGTGAAATGTCGCCGCTAATTGATTGGTCGCGCGAAACAATGCAGCCGCCTGCGCCGTTCTTTTCTCCATTAGAATGATTATTATACCCTGCCGATTGACATTTATGAAAAATCTCGCAACCGGGTATCGCCTTGCGACAGGAACATCCGACGCGCATCGACAGTTGAGCAATGCCCTCTCACCTACGCCTAAGCAATTAGTATGGAGTTTCAGTTGCGAATCCGCGGACGACACCGTTAACGTAATTATAATCATAATAGCGTTGTCCCCCTTGCATGCTACTTAAGAGAAAGTTCATTATATCAGCAACCATCTCCTAAATCGTACCCCATCGATTTCTTTATACTCGATTAATCGAAACGACATCTAATGGCAACGACGTCGAATGTGCGAGGAATGCGAATATACAAGGTGGTCCACCCAACTGTTGCAACACGTACCTAGTTCTTTTTTGCACCTACGATTAGAATAAAATGTTGGAGACACAAAACCGTGGTTGAAACGGTATAACGTTTATAAAATCTGTTTTTTCACAGGTTCAACCATGCAGGCGCATTTAACAGTTGACGACGTTCTTGGTCGATTTTCGTACGGTTCACGGTATGCAACGTTTCAGATATTACCGTAGTCGGTTGCTGATTCGAATGTTTTAATATTTTTCGTAGCTGTATCAACATTTTAAGAAGTGGTAGAGTTAATGGTTAAATAATAGAAGGAAAAGAAAAGGAGAACTTCGGCAGCTGAGGTAGTTGAAATGATGACTAGCTTGACTGATAAACAAATTAAATTTTGGAATTCTATCGTATCTAAAACATTTTGTAAATAATATATTGAGAAAATAAAACTGAAAATAATTATTGAGCTTTTCAAATATAACTTTATATCTTGTGGCTTTAAATAATAATATCTAGAGCATTAATTTAATTTTATAACAATGTTTGAAAAAATCATGTTTCGGTTAATAAATCGAGAATTACTCTGATAAATGCTTATTCGAATAATTCGAGTAAATCCTTATTCGATTGAGTATTCACTTTATTCGTTATATACCTATTATTCTATAATATTCAATTAATTAATAAATTTGTTCTTCAGCATTACCACCCTAAAATATTACCACAGCCACATAATTTTAAACAAAATGCATTCTACAATAGTATAAATTCTCCTTAAATACTATTTTTCA